GGGCCAGTGAAGCAGCGTCCTCCACAACTAGATTGAAGAACAAAACGACAGCAACTTGTCTGTTCCCCTTCCCCCAATTCCCCATCACTGTTCCCATCCCCCCAATTACCCAATAAAAATCTTAAAAAAAAAAAAAATTAAGTCCTGGACCAGTCATAGCAAGAATGAATCAAGAATACAATCAAGGGATGCTTCATGGATGACAGTTGATAAATCACAGAGAAGTTTAGAAAAAGCAGTTTTCCACCTGGGTACTTATAAAAAGAGCTGAGACTCAAGCTACCAAGATCATTATATTACCAACTACTAGAAGGAGGGAAACCTCTGATTCTATGAAGGTTCAATAAAAGTCCTGGAGGGCTGGCCAAGTGGTGCGTTGGTTAGGAGTTGGTTTGGGACGCCAGCTCTGAGCAGCAGGACCCTGGTTTGGATCCCATATGAGAGCCAGTGACGCTGCGCCCTCTACAGCTAAGATGGTGAATAGCAGTTCGACCTGGAGCTTGGGCTGCTGTGAGTCGCCGGCAACGACGTACGCTGCAGGGGGGCTGGCTGGCAGCAGGCATGAGCTTTCATGAGCTGCCGTGAGCGCCAGAAGCCACCGTGAGCTGATGTCCAATGGCCAGCAAGTGACTGCCTCACCTGGGAAGAGTGCAATGATAATACCAACATGGGCTAGTGAAGCAATGTCCTCCACAACTAGACTGAAGAACACAAGGACAGCAACTTGTCTGTTCCCCTTCCCTGATTCCCCAATGCTGTTACTCTCCCCCAATTCCCCAATAAAATGTTAAAAAATAATAATAATAAAAATAAATAAATGTCCTGGAACACTCTGCTTCTGTGTATGAATTGTGCCACTCTAAAATATATTAAATATGAAACTATGATGTTATGTATTAATCACTGTTTTAATACTAATATGTTTTTCAAAGAGAACTTTGGAAACACAATCCTTAGATAAGAAATTACTTAGATATATACTCTCTCAAGGGAGGTTGGAAAAGGAAATCCAAAATAAAACCTGATATAACTAATTAATTCTATACATGTTGACACATGTCCAGAAAGCAGAATTCCCGTGAGCTAAAAAGATTTTCTCCCTGATTTTTCATCTTCCTACCAGCCTTAGCAGGCACTTTAATTAGGTCATAAGTACAGATATATATTGGGTTGTCAGAAAAGTCATGACATATTTTTGCAACGAAAAACATAGAAAAAAATACGTCATGACTTTTCCGACACCCAATAAATAGATACTATATCCAGCATATTTGCTGTTAAGTTTTGGCTTAATAGTCATCTATCGTAAGCCTGAAAAAAATCAAAACCAAGCACTTTTCAACTGAATGAATCTATTTTAATCTGATTAGTAGCTGCCACTTACTAAAGAAAAAGTATGGTATAGACTCAGGACTAGAGAAGTAGGAGTCTAGAAACTTAAAGTTGTGGCTTTAAGTTGACATGTTTTTCAATTGTATGTAAGGTCTATGCAAATCTTATAAGAGTTGACAAGTACTTGTGAAGAGGGTTGAAATGGATTGGGCTTGGGGAGGTAGGATAGGATTATTTTGAGGACCTTTAACAGGGTCTAAAATAGTTTGGCTCAAAGATTGCCATTAAAAAAACAAAACAAAACAAAAAACAACTACCACTTGGCTCACTTGTTTTTATAGGTGCAGATATCCTATTATCTTTACCACAGTGTGTTGTGGGTTCCCAAGACCACACTCATTTTCAGTGATTCACTAGGACTCACAGATCTCTGAAAAGCTGTTATACTCATGGTTCTGGTTTATTACTGTGAAAGGATACAGATTTAAATCAACAAAGACAAAAAGAGTATACAGAAGAGTCCAGGAAAGATCACGTGCAAATGTGCAGTTATCCTCTCCCAGGAGAAGGGTACAGAGTACTTAATTCTCCCAACAGCAATATATGACAACACAATTGAAGCGTTGCCAACCAGGGAAACTCACCCAAGTCTTTGTCCAGGGTTTTCATTGGGGCTCAGTCACCTAGATATGGAACACTCATGTAACTGACCTTAACTACTCAGTCTCCAGAAACCCCAGAGGTCAAACTGATACAACATGGCCCAGAACCCCAGGTAAACAAAACTAGGCCTTCACCATAAATCATATTTTTAGCATAAAACATCTGGTGTGACTAACTGGCAGTTATACAATGACACACTTATCAAGCAGGCTATTCCAAGGGCTAAAGGTTATCTCCCAGGACCTGGTCAAGGGACAGTCTTTCAATTTGGAACGTCCAGGGTCTGACCTCTCCAACTGTTGAATTAACCCTTTACTGCACCATATGGTAATGAGGGGTCCCTTTGTTCTAGTGTCTCACATTTGATAGACATTTCACCTGTTACTACCAACTTAAGTGCCTCAAGTGTAGTTCTGTTGATTTATCTCCTGCTGAATAACCAACCTTTAATGACTTACCAATTTCTAAGCGGAAAGATTCATATCTCTTGGGGTAGCTTAAAATGTTCATTTTGTGAGGTCAGGAACTCTGGAACTCAAGCACCAAGTGAAATCCCTAGCATATTGCAAATACTTAATACATTTTTTGAAAGAATAAATAATAGCTGAACCTTCTGCTCTTTGGATTATTTCTTGTTCCCTGTACCTTTACTAACATGGTTCTCTCATTCTACATTTTCCATCAGGTTAAATTTTTTAACCACACTTCAAGGTTTTGGTCAAATTCCACGCCTGTCCTAAAGCCTCCTCCAGCCTTCGTATCAGGCGTTAGTCCACCATCTTTCTCTGTGTTCCCATAATTTAATTTATTTCTAGATGCACTTATACTCCACCTTGCATTATAGTTGATTACAAATGTACCCTTTTATCTAACTCTAGAGGTTGGCTTTTAAAGACAGAGAAATTGACCCACCCATCTTTATAGTCCCTAGAATTCCTATCCTAATGTGTCGCTTCAGTTTACTCGATGAAATTGAATATTGCAATTATTTAATCATAATTTTTCAAGGTCATATTGCCAGGCTAAAATGGGGCCAAGGGAAAATGTAACTAATCTCCAAAAATTTTTAGTTGTTGAACTCAGTCTGAATCTCACAAAAGTGGTATTACAAGCTTTCAAATGAGAGTAAATGAAAAGTAGATTTGACCAAAAACATAAGAGCATAGTGTACAGAGCAGCTTTACTGTGGCCTCAACAGGATAAGCTAAATTATAATCATAGATCCATTTCATCTTTCCTGTCTGTGTACTCTTCTGAAGATGCTTTCAACTTCAGGGCTTTGGAGAGTTATTTGTCACCATAGGTCAGAAATCAGTTTGATTAGTTTTGCTGACATCTATCATCTCAAAATTTCTGAAATCTGCCTTAGAAATAAAAACTAGCAAGAATTTCAGTGGCAATAATTCAATTTGTATATATATCAGGATGCTACACTTTGACACATGAAAAGGGTCTAGAGACACCCTTTTGTTTAGGCTACAGCAATGTTGAAGTGATTGAGATTGTAAGTGGGTCCTAGAAATTAAGAGTCAAAAAGTTAATTTCAAATAAATTGTTCTCTTGGATACAAGGAGAGCCTCTTTATTTATTCATATAAATGTATCTATTTTTTCATGCTGTTATTTCCTCTCTTATTTTTGCTCATATGGTCTCAGATTTTATTATCCCTATCTTCTGTCCAACCAACCTTGGTTTATTCAAAACTATTTTTATTAAACATCTACTATGTGCATAACTTTTTACTATGCATGAGAAACAGGACCACTAAGAGATTCATTTAAACTTAATAAAATTTTATTAAGCTAGTGCTCAATGTTCTACCAGGAGCCCTGCGATTTCCTGGTGCTATAAAGAAAAGTTAGGCAGGGTTCCTACCTCTGAATAGATTACGGTATATAGCTGGAGAGAACAATCTTAGAAGAAATAGCTATGCTTTTTCTGTGGTTATGATAGAGCAGTATAGAAAGGGCTGTAAAAATAGTTGAAGAGAATTTAGTTACCTAAGTAAAAGGAAAGTTTCAGAATTGAGGTAATAAGGGAATTCAAGGAAGTGGAAAAATGTAGAGCAGATGCAAGTATAGAGAATATTAAGAACCTGTTTCCTGGGAAGCAAGGAGCCTTCACAGAGAGGTTATGAGTCAAGATTAACCAAGATTTTTAAAGTGAAAGATTACACCCTTCCTAGTTCTTGATCATACGGTCGGCTTTCCCTGGCCTGAGTCCACACTAGAGGCCCACCTATAAACACAATTTTTCAGAATACTTGAAATAGGATTATCGAAGCCAACCTGGAGAGCAATCACTAAACGATAATTATTTTTACCCATAATGCCAGTGTATGATTAAGTGGCTATACCATTATGTTAAAGGAAACACTGAAAATTAACCAGGGAAAGCATTCTTCCTTTGCTATTGGGTTGTCGGAAAAGTCATGATGTATTTTTCTGTTTTTCTTTGCAAAAATTCATCATGACTTTTCCGACAACCCAATACTTAGTCTCACTAGGGAAAGGCTGTGACATTTGCCCTAGTTTCTCTGCCTGTCCAGTTCTTATGCTTGCCTCAAATGTATGCAATTTGAATATATTGTGAGAAACATTTCAACACCTGTATGATGTCAATGTTCAGTTAGCTTGTCTTTAATTTTACCACTTTTAACGCCTTCTATAAAGAAATTCAGTGATGTAGAATGGTGAGCCAAACTGACTTTAGTTAACTTAATTGATTGCTGTTTATTATAACATTTACTCCACACTCCATACATGAAGATCACAATTGTCACCTTTACTACAATAGATTAGTGTCCAACATTCTTTCCCATCCGTGTAATTAGAAAGGATATAGCTTACTAAGTTTTTGAGGTTTTTAAAATTACCATTATACTTTAAATATGTTTGAGATGTAAAATGAAGAATATACAGCTTATATTTTCCTTAAACAGAAGTAGAGATGATTCTTATTTTTCAAGGGCACCTCTGTTTGCTAACCCACCTCTCTGTGTATAGGAAAATGTTGAAGGTGGAGACTGCAGTCGCTGCAAACCTGGCTTCTTCAATTTGCAAGAGGATAATCCTAAAGGTTGTGACGAGTGTTTCTGTTCTGGGGTTTCCAACAGATGTCAGAGTTCCTACTGGACCTACGGCAATGTAAGCAATAGACTTTCACTTCTATGCACTGTTTGCTCTTCCACTGGCCTTCTTGCTACTGTTACTGTTCTTTAGTAAGAATTTTTTTTTCTTGTAGTGAGCTTCTATATAAAGTTATCAGAAGTGGTGGGATTTTTTTTCAAATGCTATTTATGTATCTTTGATCAAAGCCTTTAAGTTTTTCTTTGTAACCATATGTAGAGGGGAACCTCTTAGAATAAGTCAACTCCAGTCTTTGTAGTGCTCATGATGAGTATGTGAAGCAGTAATGAAATGAATGTTGTTCTAGCCCCAAGAGCTAATGAATCAGTAAAGAAAGCATCTGATGGTGATACAAAGAATTACATATTCCATTCTCCAATGTTTTTGGTATACAAGTTAAGAAAAATTGCTGTATCATTTATACATATTACCCACCAACCTTTAGTTACTATTTGATGTTGGTTGGGCCGTTTCATTGTTAAAAGGGGACATGAAATTTGAACAGTGTCATCTTCATTCTTAATTGATTGAAAAATTTCAAATTATTACCTATTTAATATTTACTGGAATTTTTATCCTCTAGTTTAAACATAAACATAAACATGTTGACCTTACTTCCTCTCATTTGCACCACAGTCCCCATTACCTTTTGATCTGTATGCAATGATTTGTCTCCTTACAGAAGAGGTATGAGAGGAAAATGGGACTTTCAGGCAATTTCATATAGCCTGTGAGGCTGCTCTTAAGTAGCAGGAAACAGGCTGGAGAAAGAAAAGCCTCGAGGAGGAATGAAAAACTGTTCCATACAGGGTTGCGTGTGCTAAAAAGTTGGATTCTTATACTTGGAGGGTCACTGAAGGATTTTAGCAGGGGTGTGATATGATTAGAGTTGTGTTTTACAAAGATAACTATTTCAATAAACTATCTCCCTTCCTTTCAACTTTAATCAGCTAACTAATCCTTAACACAATAATCATATATATTTTTTCTCTGCTTTTAAGTCAAGTCTGAAATATTCTGAGTAGTTTCTGACTGTACTCTCATGTCTAAATTTGAATCCATACATACTTTATCAAATGTGCTGCTGTTGAGCATATTACACAGAACCAGCAGTGAATGGAAATCTAGTTTAACTTCCTCCTTTTGTTTGTGGAGCTTACCCTGCCTTCTAGACAGCCATGTTAGTATATCAAAGTTTCATAGTGAGCAGAGGAGCAGAGGTGGCACTCAGCCTTTGCTCTGAAGCGAAGCCCACTGATATTTGCATTTTATTAAGGCTTCTGAAAAGAACTTCTTCTAATCTCACTGGGCTGTCTTAGAATGTCTGGAGGGTGATGTTAGAAAGGGGAGAAATGGAAGTAATATCTTATTGTCTAGCTAGTCAGTAAATTTTTATTTGGTTTCTTTCCCTTTGACCAGGGCAGTCCCAGCAATTCCACAACTTTGGTTGATACAAAATCAAATGAGTTCTACATGGAGAAATTAAAAAAAAAATCATCCATATATAATCACCATTGCCATTCTGCCCGTCATCACCCTCAGCACCAAGCAGCTCACACAGGTCTAGTGGGCTCTGGTAGCTGTGAACCTCAGTGTCCAGTATTTTGTCCTGACCTGACAGTTTAAATTAGAATTGCAGCTGTATGCATGTCCATGGCTGGAGTATAAAGATGGAAAAGCAAATCATCATGGCTTCCCTAAGTCCTCCTTTAAGGTTCCTTCCTTTTCTGGGCCAAGGATCCAGGCTTCTAGGTGGTGGGTTCCTACAACAGTTCTGACCACATGGGAAGGAGTAGGTACAGTATTTGTGAGCTGTGGCCACAGCAACAAGCTGGTGGGTTCAAATGTCCTTAAGCCTCAAAGGTGAAATTTAAATAGGTGGGAAGGGAGGAGACACTGAATGAAAAGCCACTTTTTAGGCACTTTCATATTTTATTTTTATTTTTCCTCTGATTCACAAATGCATATGTAACCCCTTTTATAATTGTTTCTATAAACAATAGAAAATTACTAGTGGATTGAAAATATGAAATTTAAAGTCCAACTAATTGATAATTACTATAGCATCATAACCATTGTATAATTTTGAGTGAATTTCTATTTTTAAGAAAGAGGCACTTGGAATCATAATTTAAAAAAAAAACATTGGATGAATAAAAACATTATTATGTAGCACATACCACCAAAACTCCTAGGACCATCAAGAAAAAATAAATAGGCATCTGTAATGAGTACATATGATAAGTTTAGTGATATTCACAACACTCATATTTTTGTAAACTTGTATAGTTTTTGTTAATGTAAAAAAAAAAAAAGGACACGACAGGAATATGAAAGAGACAAGAAGTGGACAGATTTTTTTTTTTCCCCCTAAGTAACGATGAGTGTGTGTTTTCTTTAAGATATTAGACATGAGTGGCTGGTATCTGACTGACATCTCCGGCCACATTCGAGTGGCTCCCCAGCAGGACAGCTTCCATCCACCTCAGCAGATCAGCATCAGTAGCGTGGAGGCCCGCGGAGCCCTGCCACAGGACTATTACTGGAGCGCCCCAGCCCCGTATCTGGGAAACAAAGTAAGTCCATATGGCGTTTGCTTCTTGCTACTTTGCTTTAGCAGATCCATAAAGATAAGGGGTTTTATTTAGTATTTGTTTAAGGAATGATAAGCATATCAAATATACGCGTACGCTGTGCCGAATTGCCAGGACCAATAAAATCAGATTGAGTTGGACATTTTTCCCATGTCCCCTGGGCCATGGTGTCCCTGGTGCACAACTTTACATTGCTGATGTTCTACGTAAACTTTTTGAATGAACGAATAAATTAATGAAGTCTCTAAAATATTTTCACACAACAAATGATAGATATTGGAAGAAACACTGTTGTGTTTACTTAAAACAGCTGTTCTTCTACAGTTGTCTTTCTGTGGTGGGATACTTCCTACAATTTCGCTCATCTGTTTCTAGTTCATTTCGAAGTTGCTATTCAACTTCTTTTCTATCTTGTATGAATGTTAATTGGAAATGAAATTTATTACATAACTAATTTAATGCTTGCCGTGAAGCTTACATAAACAACATATTTCCTGGAGTTCAGAACGAGAACTACCTTAAAAGAAGTGCCAGATTGAAAGCACATGTTTGTTTTAAAGCCCACTCGCACATATAGAAAAACACACAGATAAGCAAACATAGATCCTCCGAGGTACAAGCGCCTTTTAATCTTCTGTTGTAAATTGTCTCTGTGGTGCCTTGACTTTTATTTTGTTTTATTCCACCTAATAATTTGTAGGACCAAAATTTGGTAATTTTAAATGTTAATTCTTTCTTGTTCTGTAAAAATTAATGCTTATCAGTTGCTGGTTAAATTACCTAATCACACAAAGAAAAATCCTTTAGCAAATTGATGCTATTTAAGCCTAGTTTTCGTCTATAAGAATATAGTGTTGCTTTTGAAGAAATCTTTACTGGTTAAATAAGTAAAAATGTATTTATAGTTAGTGGTCCTTTCACCACGGCATGTGAGTATTCAGGTAAAAAAACTTAGTAGTTCATGTCTTACTTGGTGAATGGAAGACTGGTGGTTTTAGCAGATTGAAGAAATTTTAACCCATTGCCAGTTTCTTATTTATAACAGGTTTCAAATGTGATTATGAAAAATGTGTAAATGAATAAAATACATTTCAATGAATATGTGTTTTAAAAGAGACAGTGTATGTTGCATAAAGTTCTACAGCTGTAATAAAAACCTAATTAAAGTTTTATTTGCAAGGCCCATTACAATGACAGGAAGTTATTCTATCCAGTTCTATTTAGAAACTCCTGTGTCCCCAATAAGAATAAAATAACACCGAAGACTTGAATGTCTATAGCTGAACGTTATCAAAAACTAAATAAACTCAATTATTTTTTTTTTCTGCTTTGAGGAGTTCAGAGAAAAGCCATGGGTCAAAATTGGATGCATTTCAGAGGTCTTATTTGTCTTACTATACTGAAATTTATTTAAGGATCACTTACAATAGAATGTTCTTTACCATATTTTCTATCATTTCTTTTCTGGTTGTACGTTTTCTTTCTGTTGGCTGAAAATCAAACTGACAGAAGAAAAGCAAGCAAATGTGATATTGAATAGCATCAGAGCAAAGAATTTGGACATCCTGTTTGTAGCTGTTGGTTCCCAAAGATAACTTCCCTTCTCCTGGCTGAATTGTTTCTTATAACTATCCACAATGAAGCACTTCATATTCCCCTACAGATCATTTTCACATCAAAAAACTGTGCTTGCCTGTGCTTCAATTTCCATTCAATGAACAAAATAATGGTAACAGGGTGTGCAAATTGTTTGAATATGGAAGACATTTTTTAATGTAATGTGGAAGCCCTCGGTGGTTTACTGTCAGATAGCTCAGTATGAATGAAACAATTTGCCTTAATAACTGAACCATATAAATTTTTGATACTACCAATAATACTGCAAGCTCTCACAAATTACCACAGTACATCTTAGCTGTCATGTCACATCACGTAAATTATAGTCATGATGACATGCTTAGCTTGGTTGATTTAATATCTTGCTAAGGAAATGGAAAATTGTAGGGCTTTGTTTGTAAATTCAATAAAGCTACTTTTCTAAATAGTTGAGGCTGAATTCTTTACCAGTAATTGCCGTTTCAATCGGAGCCCTTCCCAGGCTCTGACAGAAATAGTATATCAAAAAACTAGTGTATCTGATTAGATATTGAATTTCATTTACGTCCAAGACCAGGAGGCTGCAGGTACATAATTCCTCCTCTGCTTTTTAAAAAAATATTCCTAAGTCAAAAAAATATTTATGAGATGCTATTAGCATTTTCTAAATGTTTGTATAGCCAATTTTCAAACATTTTCCGTCAGTCACTTGGTTATGAGGCTATTTACAACAAAAAGGCGACGTGATTTGTTGTGCATATTTATTATAATGGAGATGTCAGAGGTTATTCGTTTTTTTTTAGGAACCTAACCCAAAATAATAAAACTGCTCTTACATGGGATACAGTTTGCTAGCATAGAGGTCCACCTGATCGCAATAAAACTCCAGGACAATAAGCCATTTAGCAAAGGAATACTTTTTATCCTAAGAAACATTTTTATTGACTGCAGTCCTCTTTGGAGTAATGAGAAATACACCAGTGAATATAAGTATTTACGTAGATGAGACCTAGAAAAACCTAACACATTTTTATACTGCCCATTTAAAGACTTTCCATAATCTCAACTATGAGTTAATTCTTCAATAGCAATCTTGAATTTTTTTTTTCACATGTGTGAGTGAATATTTAGGACAACTGGTACAAACAGTGTTAATTTTCTCCCCTCATTCGAGACAGTCAAGGAGAATGAAGTCAGGCACCCATAGGGCTATACTAGGCATCATTTCATTTTCAAAATGTTTGGCGAATGTTAATGCTTGGTTTTAGAGCATTTGTTTAAGCATGGAACTAGGCAGGAATGGAAAGCGCTTGAGAACAGAGTCCTGCTGTTTTGCTACAGGATACAGCTATTTAGAAACAGTTTGGGTATTTCAGAGTTGGAATAATTTACTGCTTTAGTAAACTAAGTTCTATTGGAACATTGAAATAGTCATTTACTTAAGGTTACCCTAGTGGTCTGAAATAGTCCAGCTTCCAAAAGCAATTCTCTTTGCGTCTGTAAAGTTCCCAGAGAATTGAGCTTGGACTGTCTGCTGTTCCCTCATTACCATTAAGGCTTGAAATTCTGTCTCTGAGCATTATTAAATTAATCTTATGTGATTTTTCTTTACAAAACAATGTTTATTTTCTACAACATTATGCTATTTTTTTTCTGTTTCTAGTTTTAAAAAGCTTTTAAATTGTTTCATGTAGTTGCCAAGTCTACCTATAGCCTAGCTTAAGATGCACATTATGCGTTTGCTGACAAAATAGCATCTGGCTTCTAAAAGTAATCTTTGGAACTTCTTTGTTGTGCTTGCTTGACTTTCCATTCTATTTCTCCAAACCCCAAATTAAAGCTGTGGATTTGAAGAAGACTGATATTTGAGCTTTACAGAACAGGATAGTTCTTGTCACATAAAAGGAGCTTAAAAAATATTTTGTGATTAATGCTACACACTTAGCAATAACAAAAAATTGTTGGAGTTTACTCAGGAGTGACTCTTATATTGGGATTTATGTGAAAGTTAGAATTTGATTTCAATCTTGGTTTAAACAATGAAAACTCACTACAAGCATGATCCACTCTCATTTTAGCAATATAATTTGTATTTGTGACTTCTTTGCTCCACATTCCTCAAAATTATTCAAAAGTAAAGGTCAAACTCTCTCCCCATCTTTAACTTCTTACAATTTAAGTCTTGGTTAATTGGATTAATTAAGAAGAGGTTCTCTACAAGTGGAGAGAATAGCATGGTCCTAAAAGTAAATAGGATAAATTAACTGTGATTGAATTGTTATTCCACAAATCAGATCTCATCAAGAATGATTTGGTAATGGAGTAGTACCAAGAAAACACTCTGTTGCCTAAAATAAATCAAATGTGTTGTTAGGGGTAAATTAGAAAATGTATTTATTAACAAAACACCAAGAAATCATTTATTGTTCATAGTTATGGTAACATCTACTATGCAAAGTTAGCCCACCTATGAGGACTCAAGGTCACACATAAAAATCTCCCGATCTTACCTATCCTTCTAACAATATTATATTGATATTTTGCCTAATAAAATTTATATAAGAGCATTTTAATATTCAGATGCATTCTTCTGTTTATAATGTCTTATAATGAAGTATAATAGGGATAAAAATCAGTTTTACAATTGATCGACTGAGTACTAAATGGGAACATTCAGTTTAAGAACAATTTGATAGGAAAAATTAAGGAGTTTACTTAATAGTACTTTCACTCTGAGTTGGCTTTGTGATGCCATTGTCAACAAAACTAACATAATTTAGGGCCGCATTGGTAGGCGTTTACTGGTCAGATCAAGGAAGATAATAGTTATACAGATTCTGCACAAAACATGTCATAAAATATTCAACCCTCCAAACTCCCTCATGAAAATAGATGCAAACATTCTAAAAATAGAATTAACAATCTGAACCCACAGTGTATAAAAATGGTAAAACGTAATTGGCCAAGATGCTTTTCTTATAGGAGCTCAAGGATGGTTTATTATCTGAAAATCAGTTTAAGTAATTGTCCATATTGACTAATTAGAAGAAAGAGACAACAAATAAAAAACAAGTATATCAATAATTACAGAGAAAAAGATATAGGTAAAATTAAATAATGATTCATGATGTTTAAAAAAATTTGCAAACCTGGGTTGAAAGACAATTCTTTAACTGATGAAATGTATCTACACAAAAATAAATAGCAAATATTTGATTTAATATAAAGTGTTTAAAGAGTTTTTTAAGATCACAACCATGAGACAATTTTTACTGACTACTTTTATTTAATATTGAACTAAAAGACCTAGATAGTGCAGTAAGATAAAAAAATAAATAAATGATATAGAGATTGGAAAGGAAGAAGTAAAACTGTAATTTGTAAAT